GTCCTGGGGGTGGAGAAGGGCTGATGGCCCTGGAAAGCCTTCCCTGACCACCCTAACAGAAAGTGAGATTGACTGTGTTCTCCCTCCAGCTCTGCGGCCTCTTGTGCGGTGATCTTGCCTCCAAGGATGTTCGTCTCCCCGCCCTCTGTTATTGACTCAGTATTTGTGTTCGGTTCCCCCCGCCCCCCAACTCACTGGTTGAAGCATCAGCTCGTAGTAGGATGGTATTCAGAGGTGGAGACTTTAGGATACAGTTAGGTTTTTATTTTTTAGAAGTTTTTGCCTTAGGGCACATGTGCTCACTGGAGAGAGAGAGAGAGACAGATGCAGTGAAGGAAAGTGAGAAATCACCCCCTGGGGGATGGTCACGCACAATCTCCTCCTGAGATCTTGGGTATGCACATACACACACCCAGCATGAGTTTCAAGCCACCGAGTCCGGGACTCAAACCGCAGTCGGCCATGTGGGAATCCAGTGATGTAACCACTATACCATCTGCTGGCCCCAGGATAAAGTTAGGTTTAAAGAAGTTATAACTTCCTGGGATGGGGTTAGCATCCTTGTATGAAGGCAAGGACCAGAGCCTTCTCTCTGTGAGGACGCTGCAAGAAGGCAGCCATCTGCGAGCCAGAAAGTGTGCCCTCACCAGGAGCCAAGTCTGTCGGCACCTTGATCTTGGGCCTCCCAGCCTCCGGAACTGTGATGAAGAGATGCCTGCTGTTAAACCACCCAGGCTATGGGACTGCGTTAGAGCAGCCTGAGCAGACTAAGATGCAAAGTGGGGTCAGATGGACGGCTCTGCTCGACTGGGAGGGCCTTCCCCTTGGGGAAAGGCTGGCACAGCCATTTGTGGTTAAATATTATCCTCTCCTCACCTCTGTCCCTCCTACTCCTGCTCCCAGCCACCTCCTCAGGGAGATCAGGCCATAAATGCTGCCATTTGATCTTTTTCCAGAGCTGTGGCTTCCTGGGAGGAGCCACACCAGCTGACCATCTCCCTTCTACTGTAAGCTGGGGTCTGCAGGGGGACGACGGGAGGTCCAGGACTGGGGCTGAGGTCTGGGGTGGGAACACTCGCCTCCTGCCCCGCCCCACCCCACCCCACCCCAGCATACACACACACACACACACACACACACAGGTGGTTTTTCTTGGTTACATCATACACAAGGCTCCTCCAGTGGCTCCCTGTGGAGCTCCTGGACTGGCTTAATGAGCCCCTCAGGTGCCACCTCAGGCAAGACGTCCCAGCCCCCCTGGTTTCTGGGAAGCAAAAATAATTCAGAGAAGTGGGCATCCTCACTGAGGGGGATCTGCTCCAGACCCCTCAGAAGCAAGGAGGGTAAGCCCCATTTTGCCTCAACCAGGCTTCTTTAACTTTGAGCCTGCAGTAATAGTCCTAGACTCCAGAATATGTTGCCAGAAATCGTGGGTAGGGGAATGCATCCTAGCCAGATCGTACTCGACAATATCCAAAGAGAATCCTTCTTGTCTCACTATTTCCCATCTTTAAAGGAACTCTAAAATAGTATGATTTTGGGCTAGCTGTTGGTGTGGTGGTTAAGACAGCTGGATCCTACATGGCTAACAGCTTGATTAAAGTCCCAGACCTGGTGCTTTGAGGAACACACCAGGCAGGTGTGTGTGTGTGTCCAAAATCCTGAGAGGAGACTAGAGGAAAAGGGAATTCAGTGTGGCCAACCCCCCTGGGGGGGGTGTGATTTCTCACTTTCCCTCTTTTTTTTTTGGAGAGATTTACGCTATAGGGTACACATGCGCTCACCAGACAGACAGAGAGAGACATAGAGAGAGAAAGCGAGAAATCACCCCCCAGGGGGGATGGTCACGCCGCAATCCCTTCTCCTCCATTCTCCTCTCGGGATCTTGGGCACGCACGCACACGCGCCTGGCGTGAGTTTTAAGCCACCAGGTCCGGGATGCGAACCGCGGTCAACTACGTGGGAGTACAGTGACATAGCCATTACGCTAACTGCTGGTTCCCTCACTTTCCCTCTTTTTGTCAGTATCTGTCTCTGTCTGGTAAGCACACAGCCCTATAGCAAAAGAAAAAAAAATGTATATATATATTTATAGATATGATTTATTCATCATTCCTAGTATACATATGAGAACACTTAGGTTCCAGGCAACAAACTATGGAATGAATTCCCAGGACTCAGAGACAAGTTGGTGACTCTAAAGCCTAGTTTTGTTTTATGCCTGGTTCTAGGAAGAGTAAGGGAAGAGAGTTCGTCAAACCTCTGCTCGTGACAGACATCACTAATCAATTACGGTGTGGCAGACATCACTAATCCACTGCGGTACTCTTTTCTAAAAAGCTCTGAGGGGGAACCAGCAGTTAGCGTAATGGCTATGTCGCTGGACTCCCACGTAGTTGACCGCGGTTCGCGTCCCGGACCCGGTGGCTTAAAACTCACGCCAGGTGCGTGTGCGTGCGTGCCCAAGATCCCTAGAGGAGAATGGAGGGGAAGGGATTGCGGTGTGACCATCCCTCCTGGGGGGTGGTTCTCGCTTTCTGTCTCTATGTCTCTCTGTCTGTCTGGCGAGCGCACATGCCCTATAGCGAAAAACCTCTCCAAAAAAAAAAAAAGTAAAAAGCTCTGAGACAGCTATGAACGCCCCAACACAACACTCCAAACCTTCATCACTTACCACATCATGTTCAGCTGGCTCCTCGCCTTACTGGTAATAGGCTGCTCAAGAGAAGCCAGATCTCACAGGGGTACTGCAATTTGAACTCTAAACCTGGTCACATAAGCAAATGCCCAGGATTTGATGGGTTGGAGGACTACAGGAAGGGCATTGCAGTATGGCCAGGCCCTATGGAGGAGGCTCACGGCTCTCGCTCTCTCTCACACGTACACGCATGCATGCCCTCACACCTATCATGAATAAAGATGAAAATTAAAAAGAAAAAGAAGGTCATAGCCACAGTATTTACCATCTTGTGAGCCACATCAGCAACCTTGCACCCTCAGGACTTAGGCACAACCCCAAAATGCCCTGTTACTAGACCCTGGGACCCCACACACTACATGCTGTTCTTGGATTGAGAGAGTTTGCTTAGTTCTTATATCAATCCCAGGATTGAGTATTTGTCCCATCCCCTGTCCTGACTCCCTTAGATGAGGAAACTAAGGCTCAGAGAGGGCCAGTCACCTTTCTAAAGCTAAACGGCTCCAGCGTGGCTGTGAACCTGGGCTCTCCCAATTCCAGTGCCTAGGGACTCTCCCATACCCTACATGAGCCATGGGTCCATACTGGCCTCTCTCAGCTCTGTTCCTGGCAACCTGCCCTCCCTCCCTCGGGAGAAATCACCCCCCAGGGGGGATGGTCACGCCGCAATCCCTTCTCCTCCATTCTCCTCTCGGGATCTTGGGCACGCACGCACACGCGCCTGGCGTGAGTTTTAAGCCACCAGGTCCGGGATGCGAACCGCGGTCAACTACGTGGGAGTACAGTGACATAGCCATTACGCTAACTGCTGGTTCCCTCACTTTCCCTCTTTTTGTCAGTATCTGTCTCTGTCTGGTAAGCACACAGCCCTATAGCAAAAGAAAAAAAAATGTATATATATATTTATAGATATGATTTATTCATCATTCCTAGTATACATATGAGAACACTTAGGTTCCAGGCAACAAACTATGGAATGAATTCCCAGGACTCAGAGACAAGTTGGTGACTCTAAAGCCTAGTTTTGTTTTATGCCTGGTTCTAGGAAGAGTAAGGGAAGAGAGTTCGTCAAACCTCTGCTCGTGACAGACATCACTAATCAATTACGGTGTGGCAGACATCACTAATCCACTGCGGTACTCTTTTCTAAAAAGCTCTGAGGGGGAACCAGCAGTTAGCGTAATGGCTATGTCGCTGGACTCCCACGTAGTTGACCGCGGTTCGCGTCCCGGACCCGGTGGCTTAAAACTCACGCCAGGTGCGTGTGCGTGCGTGCCCAAGATCCCTAGAGGAGAATGGAGGGGAAGGGATTGCGGTGTGACCATCCCTCCTGGGGGGTGGTTCTCGCTTTCTGTCTCTATGTCTCTCTGTCTGTCTGGCGAGCGCACATGCCCTATAGCGAAAAACCTCTCCAAAAAAAAAAAAAGTAAAAAGCTCTGAGACAGCTATGAACTCCCCAACACAACACTCCAAACCTTCATCACTTACCACATCATGTTCAGCTGGCTCCTCGCCTTACTGGTAATAGGCTGCTCAAGAGAAGCCAGATCTCACAGGGGTACTGCAATTTGAACTCTAAACCTGGTCACATAAGCAAATGCCCAGGATTTGATGGGTTGGAGGACTACAGGAAGGGCATTGCAGTATGGCCAGGCCCTATGGAGGAGGCTCACGGCTCTCGCTCTCTCTCACACGTACACGCATGCATGCCCTCACACCTATCATGAATAAAGATGAAAATTAAAAAGAAAAAGAAGGTCATAGCCACAGTATTTACCATCTTGTGAGCCACATCAGCAACCTTGCACCCTCAGGACTTAGGCACAACCCCAAAATGCCCTGTTACTAGACCCTGGGACCCCACACACTACATGCTGTTCTTGGATTGAGAGAGTTTGCTTAGTTCTTATATCAATCCCAGGATTGAGTATTTGTCCCATCCCCTGTCCTGACTCCCTTAGATGAGGAAACTAAGGCTCAGAGAGGGCCAGTCACCTTTCTAAAGCTAAACGGCTCCAGCGTGGCTGTGAACCTGGGCTCTCCCAATTCCAGTGCCTAGGGACTCTCCCATACCCTACATGAGCCATGGGTCCATACTGGCCTCTCTCAGCTCTGTTCCTGGCAACCTGCCCTCCCTCCCTCGGAACTCTCCCCACACCTGGCCCTTCTCTCCACCCACCATGGTTCTCCTCCCAAAGAAGGCACCCAACCGGAAGGCCAGTTCATCTTAGGAAATTCCAGCCACGTGAGCAACCCTGAGCCAGGGATTCTGAGCAGCCGGTGGCTTTAGGAGAAACTGAAACTTGGCTGCCTGGGGGCGGAGTGGTCACTAAGGATTTAAAGAACTGCCACTTCCTTGGGCCCCCAGAGGGCACTGGAAGGTCATCGCTGTCGCTGTGAGGGAAACCCAGTGGCGTGAACCTCCACCCTCCTTGCCTAAGCCATGCATCTCTGTGGGGCCGACGGGCTGCTAATCGTGATGGTGAGTACAGGGGACCAGGGCTGGGGAAAGAGACTAGGTCTCCAGTGTCCAGGCAGTGAGAAGTGCAGCTGGGAGCTCTTAGTCTCAGCTCTGTACCCATGGGCTGTGGGACCCAGGGCTCCACACACCCCCTCTCTGGGCCTCATTGTCCTCCCCCGATAAGTCAGGGAATTGGAATGAGACCTTTCCAGCTCTGACTGAAGTTCCAGCTTGGAACTTAGCCTCTGTGTACCTGCTCTCCTCACCCACCTGTTCTCCACCACTCTTAGAGCAGCCTACTTCTCCCTCCCCAGATGCCCCTGGTCAGATACAGGTGTCTGAGGCCTCCCCACTTCTCTCACTAGGGGTTCTTCTCCCAGCCCTGCCCTTAGCCCCTTTAATGCCTTTCCACTGCCCCACCCCTTGTAAAATGAGCCTGAATGCCTCGGAGCACGGCCAGGGGGAGCTGTGGGTGAACCTAGGAGCATATAGAGTCCTCGACCAGGGTGACAAGGGTCTTGTCTGAGGTCCTTACACTCAAAACACACCCCCAGAGCGACCTGGGGCTGGAGGTTGGGCTGGGCAGTCTCCAACAGTCACTCTCACCCTGGGTTTTTGAAGCTCTGGACATTTGAATGAAATATTCTAAGTCCCATCGACTCAGAGCAGGAGTGGTCACAGCTGCCAACCTTTGCGTCTCCTCCTGTGTCAGACACTTCATTTCTTTGTACTAGCTCACTGCCCGTCTAGGGCGTGAGCCACTTCAGAGCAGAGATTTCTGCCCGTTTTGTTCATGCCATGTCTCCCTAGCTCAGAGCCGGGCACAGAGCAGGCTGTCACTGGGCGTTTGTCGAGTCAGTGGATGTCAGCTTTGGGCCTGTGCTGGGCATGGCCACATGGAGCTGAATCAGACCGTGGCCTTGCCCTCACGAAGCTCACCAGTAGGAAACGCAGTCCCTTGACTGTGGACCTAACCACAATTGGAATAGCCATAACTGAACCTGGCACCCGCTGGCTGGGGGCTGCTGACCTGCACTGCAGGCTTTCCTCTTCTCCTCCGTCAGCCCGTGACGGAAGGTCGGATGAAGCACCTGGGTACAGAGAAGCGAGTGACCTGCCCAGAGTGAAGTGGCTAGTAAGAGTGTGGGGTTTGCAGTCAGCCTATGGGCGGGTGGTGGGATCCCACATGGCCAACTCTGTAGTTCGAGTCCTGGACCCAGCAGCCTGAAACACACTCTGGGCGTGTGTGCTTGCATGCCCAAAATCCTGGAGAAGGGATTGTGATGCGACTGTTCCCCATTGGTGGCGGGGGTGCTTTCTCACTTTCTCTGTCTCTCTTCAGTGAGCACACGTCCCCTCTGGAAAATTAAAATAAAAATATAGTTGGGGGTTTGAAGCCAGTTCCGTCTGAGTTTGATTCTCCCGTGTGCACCCCC